AAAGCGTTGGTGGTTTGATAGCACAAAATGAGACTATGTCACCATCTCCGAGTTCCCATTCCACTATTGAAGGCATTTGCCGCTTTCCGCGAAGCACGTCGTCGTGCATGATCATTACTTTTTCTTTCTTTAAAAAAGGAAGATTCAATTCAAACCCTTTGATGTATATCATGTCTTTTATTAATGGTAAATGTGGAAGCCAGGTATGCTCCACCCCATGATCTGAATCTCATTCCAGAATGGGCAACACTCATCTACACCCTTCTTCCACCATCTTAGCCCCTTAATTTTACAAATAATCAAGTTCCACTTGCAATACCAACAACTGGCCAATTTTGGAAGCTCAAGTTTCAATACTGTAATCAAGGCTCTGCTTGAATTCTTCGCCCATGTTCTTTGAAAATAACAAAAGGAAGTTGACTTAAGAGACATATTCCATTTGGATCCAATTTCTTATACATAATTTATATAGCACAAGTTCTGTTTTATAAAATGGAAGAATATGCAACTCAGTACTGCATCATATCTAAAATCCAGCTTGAGATGCCTATCTTAAGAATGCAGGTTAGGTATAGAGTCGTTTACAGCAGACTATGTTATAATATTCACACATTTAAAAATTATATTCGAAAGACTAAATATTTATATGAATTCTAACATATCAATAACTTATAAGTTTATGTACGAAAATCAGATACATGTCATGTCCTAAGTCTGAACCACTTTTTGTTTCAATATATTATTGAATATTCAGAGGGAAAAGAACAAGGGGTATAGTTTTAATAAAGTATGGAATTACATAGAATCTGGCCTGGTTTTCAATTGTCAGGCTTTAACTTTTCGATGGATTAGGAACGTATCAAGCAGTGCACAATGGTGGTATTTGTGGCTTAAATATATAGGAAGGGACAAAGTTGTAGTTGGGCTAAACCACTCGCATAAAACATATTTTCCTCACTGAATCATCTATTTTGAGTTCAGGTCAATGTTTGGTTTGCTTACTTTTAATTGACTTTGGCCACCAAACTAGAACGCCGACGTTTTAGGTTGTAGTTGAGATTTTAGCCTTTTAGGTATCTTGGCACAACAAAGATTACAATTGGCCAAACTGGAACTTGAAAGCAAACGGTACTAGTGATAAAAATTAATATAATATATGTAGTTGAAATGAATTTGGTGTATGACACTTTGATTTCATTAGTTAATCCGATGAAACAAAAAATGACCCGCAATTTTCTTATATAGAGTCGGTTTGCCAACCACCTCATGTTAATCATGGACCAACTGTGCTTGTATTGTTTAATTAATACGAGTGATCTATTCGACCGACCTGTGACGACAACCACAAATGCAGTTATCAAAGGCTGCCTTATCTCTTCTCAACTATTGCTATCGTCACGGCCCCACAATAAGGTCCGAGACATTGGCACGTGAGTTTGTTAAAGAGGTTGGATTTATGGAATTCGGCAAGACCACCCGGCCGACTTGACCCATCACTTGGAGAATGCTAGAGAGTTCATTCACATTGACCTACAAACATGGAAAGTGAAGATGATCATGGGAGCTCGGTAATTATGGCAAGAGACACAAATCAATAGAGATTGTGGAGGATTCTTACTATATTCAGTGTGAACGCTTATTGAAAGAAAGATTCCTACTAATAGATGTAATTAGGTAGGATGTATTGAGTTTCCTTAGTAAAGAGATCTTGTAGATACAATTCCTTGATTTGAGAGATTTAAGAGATTGTATTCGATCTGGGTTGTTGATGTAAATCGATCCTAGCCATTGATTGTGAGAGAGCTCAACTATAAATAGAGAGTCTCTCCTCCTCATTTGTATCATTAAGACTCATTCTTCCACTCTCACTTTGAGAGAAGAGTAAATAAAAGATCTGAGACATTTGCTTTAAGTTCTATTATCTCCTTTCAGTTGTTTTGAGTTGTTCTTTATTCTCTTTGTGTTCGTTGCATCTCTAGGTGGCTAAGTGTAGCCCTCGTGGTGTTTACGCTTCCGCACGAGTGTTCTACTTTGGTGGCCTCAGCGGCCCCATTGGGTTAAAGCTTCCGCATCCTTTTGAAGTCTTGAGGACTTCGTGCCAGCCTTTGTCAAGATAGTGTGCTCTTAAGGCATGGTGTAAACCTTATTTAGGCGTAGAACCGACCAAGTATCGTCATTGAGCGTCTAAGGCCGCACGTTTCAGAGGTCCAAGGGCATGACCAGGGTTTCAAATCACGGTCCAAAAATGTGATTTCGTTCGATAAATAGCGGTTTCGCCGCCGCCCGAGTTACCCGCTACACCCATAATAGAGCCCAATAGCGCCCGCGACGGCCACAATCACGGTAAACCCGAAATGAATGAAAATGCGATCACGATTTGAAACCCTGGGCGTGACAACCACATGTTTCTGAGTTGGAGTCTCTACGGGCGTGACACTATTGTCACGCCCCCAGAACTTCGACGCCTCAAGGTCTGACGGGTCGTGCTGCCTTAGACGCTTTAGACGCTCCTCGGTCTTCCCGGCGACTAAGTAAGCCTTACCCAAGCTTAGTGAGTGTGCGAACTCACAAAGGTTAGAACCAAGCCCTCAAGGCTTCGGATTGCGGAAGCTTTAAACACCAACGTGGCTACTCCGAGCCACAAGGTCGGACTATCGTGTAGAAGTGCTAACACGAAGGTGGCTACTCCTGGCCATCAAGATAGACAACAAGAACAAAGAACTAAAGAACTCAAAAAGAATAGAGCAAATGCCTCAGAGCTTATATTACTCTCTCAAAGAGAAGAATGAAATTGGGTGATTACAAATGAGGAGGAGAAGGTACATCTCAACACTATTCTTGTGTTCTTTTGAGTTTGATTTGCCGTTTTAAGTAAGTGTAGGTCGGGCAAAACCTAACTTTAATGCGGGGGAAACAAAGTTTGGATGGGATCCAAGACTTTGTCGCAAGGGACAATAGGGTCCAAGCCGAGGCAAATCAAGACTTGTAGGAAAGAGTTCCTACGACAGAGATGCACTTGTGGGCGTGTTAGCCCGTTTCATCACTTGGCGGCAAGAGCCGAAGCAAGCACGTCCGTTATGGGAGGCTGAGTCCTTATGGGAGGACGTGAGCAAGCGGAGGCGTCGAAAGGCAACCAAGTTGATGTGAACTATGGCGTGAAAGATTGGGAAGTTACATGAGGCAAAAGCCAAGGCAAGCAGTTCGTATGGGAGAACCGCGACAAGCCAAGGCATTGAAGAGTTTCCAAGATGGTGTTGCCCAGGATCGTCGAGTGCAGCGACGAGGGCGTCGCTAGGTTCGGTATGGGGGAATGTCACGGGCTAGAAACTTGGGTCCGAGACATTGGTGTAAGCGTCCGACCAAGAGGTTCAATACGGAGAATCGGACTTACCGTGACCAGCAGACTTAGCCATTCTTGGAGAATGCTTAACAAGTCCGTGAAGGATCTATTCCGAGGCGTCCGAGAGGAGCGACGAGGGCGATGGGGGCAGTGTTGTCGAGGCTCGTGGATTCGAACCGAGACATGCGAGCATATATCTGTAAGAGAATTATACAGACTATTTGGCTTGCCCAGAACCATCAGATCTGGCCCGTTCCTTGGAGGATTCTAGAAGGATAAGGTTAGGTGGGATTTCCTTGATTTAAGGGATTGGGTTAGGTGAGAATCAATCCTAGCCCTTCATGTAAAACGATCTTAGCCATCGATTGAGAGGGAGCTCCCCTATAAATAGAGAGCTCTCCTCCTCATTTGTAATCACCCAATTCTATTCTTCTCTTTGAGAGAGTAATATAAGCTCTGAGGCATTTGCTCTATTCTTTCTGAGTTCTTTAGTTCTTTGTTCTTGTTGCCTATCTTGGTGGCCAGGAGTAGCCACCTTCGTGTTAGCACTTCCACACGATAGTCCGACCTTGTGGCTCGGAGTAGCCACGTTGGTGTTTAAAGCTTCCGCAATCCGAAGCCTTGAGGGCTTGGTTCCAACCTTTGTGAGTTCGCACACTCACTAAGCTTGGGTAAGGCTTACTTAGTCGCCGAGAAGACCGAAGAGCGTCTAAAGCGTCTAAGGCCGCACGACCCGTCAGACCTTGACTCTGATATTCCGACGGTTTGAGGCGTCGAAGTTCTGGGGGCGTGACACTATGCTTTGGCTGTACATCCACAAGTAATCCTTTGCTACTAATTGCGGCTAAACTTGGGCATCTTAATTGTTTAGTACGCCTACTTTTGTGCTTCAATTTCTTTAGGCGGAAAGTTCCGTTGGAACACCAAATTCCTTGTAATCGATTCTCGTAGTCTCTTATCTTAGCTCGAGTGGGTAGATTAACCTCCCCGGCCATTGCTTTAATTGTGCTTTTAAATGTTTAGGCTACAACAGTATATATAATTTAAAGGGTAGCCATTAGCCAACGAGACACAGCACTAAATCCTTGGCGGTTGGAGTGGACAAATGGTGGCATCATATTTCACAAAGAAGAATCCAAAACTCCGAATCACCATTGACTGAATAACTACGACCGGTGATTAAAGTTATCAAAAAGGAAAATGAAGAGAATACAAGTAGATCCCTTGAGCACCTGTCATCCTAATCTCTTTCCCCATACGAAAACTGAAAGCTCACCATGCCTATCTGATCTTATCCACATGACATTCGCCCAACATCCCCTCTCGTCACCTGTCACTTTCAATTATATAATCCGGAATATTAGGCCAACCTCGATAAACATGATACTCAACAACGTGGCCTGGAATTGCTGGTTTTTAAAAACCACTCCAAGTTTTGCTACTGCACATGCAACAAAGCTTCAACATCCCTTCATTTACCAGCTGCCTGCTACCAGCAACTGAGGGCCCTCTTTTTATTGCGCTTGTTAAGAGTAAAAGAACAAAATAAAGTTGTACAACAGTGAGCAGAACATAAGTACCAAATAGAATTGACTAATTAATAAACACGGTAGCATTGCCACTGACGAATTGCTCGAGTTTAATGTACCGAGACAAAATAAAATGTCTTAGAAAACCAAAAGAAAATACATCAATCTGGTCGAAAATTTAATTAATTCCTACGCAACTAAAAACAAGGCTTCTAACTTGGAATTCTTTAGTTGACTTCAATTTTGGGTGGAATCTGCACCAACACACGCGGCATCTTAGCGCGGCGTGGACTTTCCAACTCATCATCAACGTCAGGTACAAAGAAATTAGCCGGTGAGAATTCTGGCAAAGCTGGAAGGTTGAGGTCAAACTCGACCCTTCGGCTGATATGGTTCATGGTATTGGTTGAGCCCTCTCCTTCGAATGTGGTCACGCCGCTAGAACTATTCCCAGTCCCACCTTCATAGTGGCATCGCTTGTGGCCTCCCAAGGCCTGGCCAGATGGGAAGCTTTTGTGGCAGATGGAACACGCGTGGGATTTACCGCTTGGGTAAATAACTCCACCGGCACTCGCGGGATTGGTTGTTGACGTTGACTGGTCTTCGTTGCCACCTGAAAGCTTACGGTGGCTGGCTTTGTGGCCACCCAAAGCCTGGTAAGAGTTAAAGGACTTGTTGCAAACACTACAATTGTAGCTAAGCTTCTGCTCTGTTGGAGTAGGAGAGCGATGGCGGTGAGGAGTGGAACAAGTGTCGAAGGAGTTGGCTTCACGACCGCGTGCTAGCATGATCAGACACAGAGCGAGGTACTCTTCCTCGGTCGTAACGTGATCGAAACGTGGTCGCTTTGAACGCTTACGCTTGGTGAATGATTCCAGGGAGTGTAAGTTGCTATCCTCAAAGTGGAAAGGAGACGTAGCAGCTGTTGTTGGAGAGTTAGGAGCTTCTAAAGCCATCTGATTTCCGAACACTTGGGGGGGAAAACGCACAACAAAGGGAGAACCTTTCGATCTAATTCGAGAGACGTAGAGGAGAGTGTAATGAAGTTTGGGTGGAGAGTGAAAGGGTACTGAAATTGAGGAAGGAGAGTTGAAGGACACTGAGGAGTGAGGGGGTTTTAAAGGTGAAGTTGCGTGACAAGTGGTGTGAACCGAGAAAAGTGATGCTAACGTAGACAAATACTTGGTTATTTGGCAAATGGCAAGAGGTTGAATGCAGTTGAGTTTTCTTGGTGGGTGGCTAAGAGGCAATTCCTCGGTGGGTCAACACACAGTGAAGGTCCCTCCTTTTTTCTATCATTAAAAGTGAGAACATTTGGAAGGATAATATACAAAAACAGGACACACCTAAACAGAGTTCAAAATAAAAAAACGCGGTGAAATCGCCAGGCAGGCCCTGTGTCAACGCAGCTGATTGCTGGCTGCCGACTCAATCAATTGCATTGCCCAATGATTATGATTTCCGAATCAATTCCATGATTCTTAAATAATATAATATGTGAATCAAACTCAATAATAGTCACGTGAACAAGATCCTTTCAGATGATGCTTTTGATGATCATCGATTAATAATTTGGAATTGGAAACAACTCATACTCTTTTAATTTGATTTGTTAATATTTTTCTCATTAATTAATATGATATTATTGTATTAATTTTGAATTTTTCAAAACGTGTTTAAGTGTATTATAAGAATAAAACCTAAATTCATTCCTATTATTACATAATATTAATACCTCACCTTATAAATGATGCTTGACTAAATCCAGTATTATTTCATTTAATCTTTCAGAGAAAAATTCCTTACGAATTTTCTCTAAAAATATAGTATCTGTGCGGACGTGTCAAAGACACGTATTACCATGCCTTGTTCTCTATCACTCAACAAGGGAATGGAGAATGTGAACCTTAAATATCATTCCCACTAGTGTTTCCAACTCTATGTGGGATTGATCATTACCAACATTCTCCCACTAATGCGAAAGAATTCTTCTGAAACTTGAAAATAATCTTTCCAGAATAGTAATAGAGAGATTAGTTACTTAAGCACTAATGAACGTATCTGGAACTAGTACATAGTGATGATGAGCAATCCTACTCTTAGATAAGTGAAACTAGTCTTGAACTTTCTAAGATGGGGGTAAACTCATAACACACAACTAACCCCTTCATCCACCTGAGTCCGCGATGTAACATCCTCAATACCGGGTTAGTGACTAAATTGTATAGTCTCAGAATTTGGTGGTTAAAATAAAATGAATGAATAGTATAAAGATTTATATGTAAATTATTGTGTAGGATGGAATTGAAAGGAGGAAGGAATGGAAGGACAATAGAGTAATTGTAAGGAAAAATAATTAAAGAAAGGATAATTATAGATATAAGGATACATGTGGGTGGAAGGGGAGAAAACACCCAAGGCTTCCAGAGTTCTCTTCTTCTTCTTTCTTCCTTGTGCGTGTGAACCAAAGCAAAGGTAAGATTTCTAATTATTAAGTTTCTTGTTAAATTTAATATTGGGTTTTGATTATTAGATGATAACTAATCTTAAAGAAAGCTTAAGTTATCTTAACATCAAATGATGATGGAGTTAGGAGAGATTTAAGATTGGAAGTTCTTAAATGAAATCTTGGAATAGAGTTTATAACTAGAATTGAAAGTTAAATTTGACTTGTCATCAATCTAGTTAAGATATACAAAGTGTTAAAAGTGGAATTCAAACATGTTGAATTATTGATGTAATTCTTAAATTACATATGAATGATATAATTTAGAGGTTTAAGATGAAATAAATGAGTATAAATTGGTTTAAGGATGTGTACTATAGTTAAGAATGAAAAAGAAGATTAAACATGAAGGATTTAATCCAAAATGAATGAATTTTTGGGTTCAAAAAGAGGATTCTGGGCAGAGTGCATCGATGCATATTCATAGTGCATCGATGCAACAAGGTTAAAACCCAGAAAGTGTTTGAAGGTGTATCGATGCACAGGTAGTGCATCGATGCACTCTTTTAAAATAAAAAGATCGAATCTCATTAATAATAAAACATCGAATGCATTTTATGCACCGATGCACAAGTAGTGCATCGATGCATACCTTTATTAAAAGAGGAAATTGGCATTTATCTTAATCTAAAGAGTGAACCATTAGAGTATATTAGCTATAATACTGATATAGATCCATGTGTGATTATGTAGATACTAAAAGTAAGCTTATTCCGGAATGATCAAAGGATTAGAATCGAATCAAAGCAAAGCTAAGGTGAGTGCATACTATATGTATAATATAATGGAATAAGACTTGTGATAAGTCTAATTTCTATATTGATTTTTATAGTACAATAGTTGTGAACATGCATACATGATAATTATTGTAATACATGCATAAAGCATATATATGTTCATGTGATTGGATAAATGATGTATACATATGAATAGATTCAAATACACATGTGATATGATTTGTGATATGAGAACATGACATGAGCTACATGATCACAAGAGAAATGACATGAGCTACATGATCACAAGAGAAATGACATGAGTACATGAACATATGAAATATAAGAATAATGCCCATAGTATACGATATGAGAGCTATAGGTGTCATTGGCATGCCAAAAGTCGAGGGTATAATAGTCCTTCGGGACGTAGTCCTTCGGGATGTAGTGGTCCTATGGGACATATATGACAGTCCTTCGGGACGAATACTGAACTAAGGTTTGGTGCCCCATGAGGGAATTGATACGAGCTGTGGTGACAGCATTAGTGTACAACCTCAATGCACTCACATACCTCTATTCTCAATAATATACATTGGCAATTGAAATACAAAGTAAAGTGAAAGTGGTACAAGAAGGTAAGTCTTGTACATGTATGATATGATTATATATGTTATTGTGTAATAGATACATGCATATTGAAATGTCATGAAGGAAATGGTAAGAATGCATATTCATGAAGATATTGTTGCATATTCATTTATTGCCTCACTAAGTCTATGACTTAGCGTGTAAGTGATTTACACGTAGGTACCGAGAAATAAGAAGATTCAGAATAGCAGTGGCACGGACAACAACATTACTAAGAAATCAGATCAGAAGTAATTGACAAAGTATGTATTTTGTTGTGTATAAAGTGTTGGTATGTAATAAGTGGTTAATTACGAGTGCTCTGATCAATTTTGTATTAAGTGATCTCTTTTATGCACATTAAAGTATTTTGTTTTAATGAAAATTTTAAATTCCCAGGATTTCTCTTTAAGAATCAAAGTTTGAAAAGTCAATGTGACATCTCAGACTTGTATTCGGGTCGAATATGAGTTAGGGGTGTTACATTTAATGGTATCAGAGCTACGGTTTAGTCGATTCTCGGCATAACCCGGAGTCTAGAGTGTCTGATAATGTATACATACCAACAAAATAGTAGAAACTTCTGATCTGATGGAATAGTAAGTATGATGTTTTGCTAATAGAACTATATGGTTGTATTTTTATAGATGTTCGGACGAGGTAGTTCTAGGAATGAAGCGGGAGATGATATACCCGCTGAAAGTAGTAATTCACCTGCCCTGGCCAGGCAGAGTAAAGAACAGACATCCTCTGGAATGCCTGTAAATGATCAAGATATATTCTTTAGAACGTTAGACGCGGTATTGATGCGTTTCCAACCTCCTGTTACTTCAACTCCAACAATGAATGTTGCGAAAGAGTTGAAGGGGTTAGGGGCTCCAGAGTTTAAAGGGGAAGCCGATGAAGGTCCTGTTACTGCGGACCTTTGGCTTAATGACGTGAAGGTCATGCTTGCGGGACTTCATTGTTTCGATGCTGAGAAGCTGGATGGAGTAATTTCTTTGTTGAGAGGACAAGCAAGGATCTGGCGGACCAATGTTACATTGAGGATGTCTAACACCCAAGTAACTTGGTCATTATTTTTAGAAGAATTCAAGCATAAGTACACCGGAAATCAATTTGTGCGTCAAATGAAGCAAGAGTTAATGAATCTGAAGCAATGTAATCACATTGTATATGAGTACGAGTGTGAATTCAATAAGTTGAGCCGCTTTGCTGCCGAGCTAGTTCATACGGAGAATGATACTTGTGAGTGGTTTGTAGAGGGGTTACGTCATCGGTTGAAGGAAATGTTAATTGTCTTGAATCTATCCTCGTTTCAAGAGGTAGTCAACCATGCCAAGGCTCTGGAAAGAGCTCAGAACGAGAGGTTTGAAAATTTGAGAGCTCAGATAGTCAAAAGAACGGGTGCTTCTTCGAGTTTCGCACCATCAAAAAGGGGCAGAGATGCTGGTTTTTGACCCCAAGTTAGATCAGAGTCAGTGGCATCCTCCGCTAGAGGATCAAATCAGATAAGAGGTAAACAAACTCATTCAGTGGGATCTGGAGCTGGGAGATCTAATCAGAGTCATGCCAGACAATGCTCACATTGTGGAAAGAATCATTCAGGGATATGTCGGACGATTTTTGGAGTTTACTTTAGATGTGGGGACGCTGGGCATTTTGTTCGGGATTGTCCAATATTAACCAGTGAATCTACACAACCAGAGAGATCTATTTCTGCAGGCCAGAGAGGAAGAGGTAGAAGTAGAGGAAGAAGCCAATCGGAATCCTCTGCTCAACAGGAGATACACTCCACTGCTCGAGTGTACAACCTCAAGACCAATGAGGATTGTGATGACCCAGATATTATAACAGGTACATTTCTATTGTTTGACAAAGGTGTAGTTGTATTGATTGATACGGGGTCTACATATTCATACATTGCTAGTAAGTTAGTGAAAGAATTGAACATTCCGTTAGAAACTACTAGCAATGAGGTGATAGTGACGAACCCATTAGGGCACAGTGCTCGGATAAATTTGGTGAGTCGAGGGTATCCCATACAAATTCAGGGAATTGAATTTCCTGCTAATCTGATGAAATTACCTTTTGATGAATTTGAAGTGATACTGGGAATGGATTGGTTATATCATTATTACGCTAATGTCGATTGTAGATTGAAAAGAGTAACGCTAAAAAGTCCAAAAGGGGTAGATGTGATGGTATTTAGTGAATGATGGAATCCATTGGCAAATGTAATTTCAGTAATGTCGACGAAGAAGTTATTGCTACAAGGATGTCAAGGGTTCATTGCTAATGTGCTGAATATTAGAACCAAGGAGAAAGGGATTGAAGGAACTCCTATAGTCAGAGAATTTCCCGATGTATTTCCTACAGAGTTGCCAGGTTTACCTCCGGATAGAGAGGTAGAA